GAAAGCAGCAATCAAATGCGCGGTAAATTATCGAGTTTTGATACATCATATGGCTGTCAGTTGTAATCCAACGTACCTAATGTTTCATTTTTTTTTTGTTGCAGGAACAATTTTTGAGGGAGAACAAGGGACGCTGCGCTCTCGGTTAATTCACACAGTACCAAGTAACGATTGTTGTTAAGAGAAAAAAAAAAAAAAAAATTATTTGATTGTATTGTTTAAGATGATCCAAATATTCAATAAAACCTATTAATTGCATTTAAAAAAAAAGCTTATTTTTTCCAATTCCCGAAATTTTACACAAATCGATTAGAAAAACATAATTGTAATGTTGTTGTATGTGAGTAGTAAATTTCAAAAATATGTTTACCTTTGAATGGGTGTGATTAAATTCAAGTCGTAATTGAAACATGATTATGTTCTGAAGTTTCTATCATCAATCGATAATGAATTAAATATTTGAATAAATCAAGCATATTTACATGTATGCCAAGCAAAAAAAGTTAAAAAAAAAAAAAAAAAATCTCCATTAGTATATCGTTTACAGAAAATGAAGCTCATCCTGGGATGCCTGACGCTCCTGGTGGCTAGCTCGAGCCTAGTGGCCAGCAGTCCCCTGACTCTGCAAAGCAACGCCTCGAGCGAGCAAGAGGCCCTGATTAATGNAAAAAAGTTAAAAAAAAAAAAAAAAAAAAAAAATTCTGTAAAAACATATTGCACGCATATTATTTAAACTAAAACATGATTTGACTAAACCAATATAAACTTGTTGGTATATTATTTACTCACATAAATATGTATAACTATTAGAAGCGCATATTTGGTACTTTAGTACTCGTTTGGGAATATTACTGGAGTTTCTTACAGTAAAGTGAACCTTTAAATAACAGTAACTTTGATAATTAACCTACTACTGGTATCTTATGGTACATACAGTATCCCCTTTTTTGCAGTACACATCTACGAACGTTGTGTTCGTATCAACATGTCTTTTTATTTTATTTTTTTCTTGTTTTCCAACGTAAAACCGTTAAACCTCATCCCTGCCGGAACCCGGCAAAGAAGATAGGACGCTGCACTCGACGGGTGGGGAAAAAAAAGGCAATGTCTCGACGGAACTCTCTCGTTGCAACAATCGGTGCGGGCTCGCGCTATTACATACCCCGCAATGAAGGCACGCACCGAAAGGTGGTGTTTACAGATCGTGCGTGCACATGTGCGCATCCCCGAAAAACCCCGGACGTAATTGTCGAATGGCACCCGCGCGCGTGCAACCGCCCCCCCCCCCAAAAGTTAAAGTGGATAATTAGAAACGCGCGCCCGCGCGTATACCTCCCTCGTTTCGGGAAATCGGGCTATTGTACTCCGGGGCCCCCACCGCACGTAACGTGTAATTTATACATTCGCCCGCTTCCTTTTTTCACGCAATGCTAGAGAAGTGCGCTGGAAGAGGAGGCCGATTTTTTTGCGTACCGCACCGAGTGCCGATGATGCGCAAACAACGATTATACCGCCAACAGAGAGAAAGAAAGAGCAAAGTTCTTTCAACCGAGTAAATTGCGATGTTCATACGCAAGTGAGTAAGTATATGTAGGAATCGGTACGGTAATTACGAAAAACTAAATCGGCTCATCTCTCGCTCTGGAAACTACGTATTATTTCGCAGCTTTGTCCGTACATACGTCTCGCACAGAAAAAATGGTAATGGTCCATAATTATATACACGCACGATTTTTCCAAAGTCCCCTTTACCTGTATAAGAAGCCGACGGCGCCTCTCTAAACGAGTGTCTCCTTTCGGTGAGGTTTGTTTGCAAACGTTGCTTTTTTTTTTCCTCCTTCCGTCCAGGCGGTGTGTCATTAATTTCTCGTTTTTCCAGGCGACTGGGCGTCGCGACGGTGTTTTCACGGTATCCGGGGTGATATTTTTCACGGCTACAACTGGTCATTTGCTCGGGGGCTGAATGTTTGGGTGTGCCTTTTTTACATGCAGTTGCAGTTTGACGCGATTCGGGGTAAAGGTGACGGATGACCGCGGGGATCAAGGGACTACTGCCGAAAGGGTAATTGGTGTGTGTGTGGCGACGGGTGTCTCGGGCTCTGACGCCGGAAGCGTCCGAGCTGTGGGTGCACCTTTTTTTAGGTATACTCTGAGATATTCTATAAATGTGTCCATTTTGCAATCGGGATACCAATGAAAATTCAATTTTGCCGGTGTGTGTAGAGTGAAAGCCGTAGTTGATCAACAAAGTAATAAAAAATTTGTGCTGTTACGACAATTTTTTAATGCGTATTGTACCGTTATCTAGAAATTTTTCCATTCAAAAACTATGTCAAGTTGGATTGGACGAAAAAATTAAAAATAGTTTTTTTTTATTATCAAAGATAGCTAACCATTCGCGTAACATGTAGTAAATAGCAAACTTGTAGCATTTAGTACTGATACTTCTAACGTGGTCATACTGTCCGATTTATCTATTATATCTATACATAAATAATTTTAATCTAACATATTTGGTTGCTACCACTTTGACATGTGTGTTTGCCTAATATAAATAATTAGCAAAATTATTTGGTGTAATTGAATAAAAACCAAGACAATTGAAATAAAATCATTCATGCGCACGCACAACAGTTCGATGACATGATAAACGAGCAAGTGTTTTTGTTTCAATGAAATGACAATAAATGAAATTATTTTTAGAAGCCTTTTTATTAAAAATATTTTTATTCAGGGCTAAGAAGGTAAAAAATTAATTTTATGTTTTAAACAAACAAACGCACTGATATTAAAAATATTCAAAAGTGAACAAAAAAACTGAATATCCTGAAATTTAATGTCGGTTTTACGTGTCAAATTTTAAATTAATCCATAGTAATAAATGCCAATAAAAAGTTGCAAAAATCCTCTATGACCTTTGATGCTAGGTACAATTTTTTTGGTTTATGTTCCAAGTAACGTTTATACTTCACAGTACTGGTTTATACTTTTTTTGAAACGTCTTTGATGTAATTTAATTTAGTAATTATTCATTATTGATATCAAACCATTTAATATCTTAAGAATTTTTCTTTTTTTTTGTGTTACCTTGTCCTCTGTTATAGCACTTTGCATTTTTATACCTTAAAGTGATTCCACAATCATAAACAAATTCGGGTTTGATTAGTGTAATTTACGATTTATATGCGATCGTTGAGTAAAAAATACTTGGAAAATTATGACCACGGATGATACAGTACCCCTTTCACGATGTAATCGCATAAAACACAGTGTTAAAAATATTCAAATGCCGTATCTCTTGGGGCGATACTCAAAAAATCATCCACGAAACAATCCTCAATTGTATTTTGAGCCAAAAACGACAGCCCGAAGAAGCATTGACTGCTCAGTCCGAGTTTTTGTATTTTCAGCGTCCTGTGAATACAAGGCGTCGAAATGACGATGCCACTTTGATCGGGCCAATACAAACACACTGTTTTCTTTCGTAAAATTTTCACTTGCACTCCCAAAAAAGACTCACGTTTTTAAAATTTTAAATTTTAGTTTACAAATTTTTTTCTCACGTTATCGAACGATGACAAGAACATGATGTGTTGTTACATTGTTACATTTGGCTCAGATTAAACATGGAAATGTGCTCCCAAAAAAGAATAAAATATTTGTATCCCTCTTAATTAATGCACGGCTTCATATTTACTCCCGTAAAGGTAAATATTTTTTGTTTAATGATCCAAATGTATACGGCAATTCTTAGAAATTTTCAAAAATTTATGCAAAAAAATAATGATGGCCAATAATCTCAAAGATTCAACATCAGATTTTGATGGTCCTTTCTACATAGTTCAAATTATTGGTCGGTTCGACAACCTCATGACGAATTGTAAATCTCAGAGGTTTTTAATTGCTTGTCGAAGATTAGATAATGTCTATGAGATTAGTTTTTTTTAGCTCATCAATCGTAGGTAAACAAGTCTATAAATAATATACTTGGCGTCTACTTGGAAATTTATATATTTGAGTATCCAAACAAAATTTAACTGATAAAAGTTGATTATCTTTTTACACCACTATTTAAGGCTATCTATATAGATAAAGAAATCAAAAAAAGTATCTCTGAAAAATTCGAATATGTACATAGACCAATTAAATCCCACACTTTACAATTCATGAAAAAAAAAAAAAAAAAAAAAAAAAAAAAATAGAAAGGTCGAGTTTAGAGCGTTTCCCCCTGACCCCCTACAACAATACACCATCTCCTGTACGCAAATATAAAAAGGATATGCCTAAAAGTGCCGAACAATCATAACATCATGTATATAATATATACTCCAAGCAATGTAGTATTATATAGCTCCGTGAATTCACGCCTGCTTGTATAATACACACACACTTACATCGTGTGTACACGTATATACATCACTGGTATAAGAGGGAGCCAACAATGCGGACACCATCAATAAACCATTAATCCGTCAACCGGCCCCTAGCTGACGTGGCTCTCGGCGTTTTTCTTTGTTATTTACGCGATCGCCGTATACCTATTCCATCTATATCGTGTGTATATGTACATATATATTATAGGCACTTACTCGAAAGCCTATATATATATATATCCTGTTAACAAATATTTGCAGTAACAATATATACATGCACAAGAAGGGCCTCCAATCGTATACACGTACAATGTGCAGGGTCCTCGAGTCGAGAAGAGGGAGTATAAAGGATAAGGATCATGGTGCGCTTTCCTCCCTCTGTAAGGGATTTTTTGTGTTCTCATTGTTAAAATTAATAAAGCTATGTGCTGCTTTTTTTTTTCTCTTCCTTCGTCTATTTTTGTGCGCTCGCGAGATTTTTTTTTTTTTTTTTTCACAACAAGTGGGTTACAAGTGGGTGAGACCTTGTAAATTTTGTGGAAAATTTAATCGATTACCTTTAAATGAGATGCATTTTCGATAAAATTATCCAACGTAACACCACCGAGAGCAAAAAACAAACCACTGTTTCATTGGTCAATCTTGTTTATTATTAATATTTTTTTTTCATCATCATTCAAAGTAAAGGTACATAAATTACATGTCGGAGGAAAAAAACTTTGTTGTTTATTGCTCGATTCTTCATTTGCTCGCTGCGTCTCCACACTCGATCTACGTACTCGCCAGTCATCCACTGCAACCAAAAACCACAATCATGTTCTCAAAAATAGCGAATAAACAAACGAAAAAAAAAAAACAAAAAAACAAAAAAAAACGAAAAAACGACTCACCCTAATCTACTCCAGATTCACTTTGAACCATCAGCCAGACCAACGGCCGTAGACACAAAATCGGAAAAGGCAATGACGTCAAAGCCGTTCTTGTCGGCCACCTGCAAGTACTTCAAAGCCGCGGGCTGACAGACGAGCCTAGCTACCAGTGTCAAGTACGTCTGGGTGTGAAGTTTGCCGACCAACGTGGCGTACTGTCCCTTGGCTGCGATCTTCTGGTCCCTCAGCGCGTTTATCTGGCCGATGGGCAAAAGTGCCTTGGCCTCCTTCAAGAACCCAAGGTAGCCCTTCTCCTTCTTCTTCTTGTCCTTGTCCTTGCCCTTATTGCCCTTCTCCTTGTTCTTCTCCTTTTCCTTGTTCTTTTCCTTTTCCTTCTCGTTTTCCTTGCCCTTCTTGCCCTCCTTGCCCTTCTCGCCTTCCTTGCCCTTCTTCTTGAACTCTTCTATTTCGGGCATTTGCTCGGCATCGATGCTGAGACGCGACGCGAACTCAACGAAAAAATCGGTGGCGTTGGCCTTCGTTGGCATGAGGTACTCGTGCAGTTTCTGGGACGCCTCGGTCTGAGAAATGTTTTTCAGGAGGTCGAGGTTCTCGTTGCTGCTCATGAACAGCAAAGTCTCGCGAAACTCGGGGTCCAGCAGGGCGTACTTTATGAAGAGGAGTCGCGTTTGGTTGGCGGGAATGAGTCGCAAAAAGTCCTTGAAATCATTAATCAGGGCCTCTTGCTCGCTCGAGGCGTTGCTTTGCAGAGTCAGGGGACTGCTGGCCACTAGGCTCGAGCTAGCCACCAGGAGCGTCAGGCATCCCAGGATGAGCTTCATTTTCTGTAAACGATATACTAATGGAGATTTTTTTTTTTTTTTTTTTTTTTAATCCTATTCTTCCAAGTTGGTGTGCAATTGTTAAATTTTTTTTACTTTTTACGTTGAATCGCTCTGTCATTTGAGACAAAAAAAAACTGCGTGCAGCACTTGACAGAAAACTAGTTTTGACCATTGCACACGTGGGTATTACTTAAAAGCATTTCGCAGTATGTTCCACAAAAGATGCCTATGTGTTTATAGTAAATACTTGAAATCTCGAGAGAACTTAAAGTTACAGTGATTACTTACACTACTACTAAAAAAAAGCACTCTGATAATCTAAAATTTAATTGTAAAATCGTTCAGTTTGAATACGAACTTACAGTAATTAAAAAAAAATCTTATAATTAACTTTGATTGAATTATTTTATTTTGATTTTTTTCTTTATATCCGAGTAGTGAGACAATCAATTAATTATTAAGTGTCATACTCACTTTTTATTCCACGAACGCTCTATTGCTTGGACGTCAACTGTTGGCAACAGTCAATCAAACAATCTCTAGCAATTGTCGATCGCATTATTATATACCATCGAGGGCGTTAATCAAGTGGCAATAATGTTTGTCAGTATTATCATTTTTACGTTGTTAAATCACAATTTCTTGTTATTTGACGTTTAACATGAATAGGTGGTGGTAGTAGAAACGTACGACATTTTTGCGTGATTACCTACAATCTTATCTTGTTCACGTGCTAACTTACCGTGCTAGCAGTGTGAAGCCTTATTTTTGTTGGTTTTATCTACATCACTTTATTTATTATTTTTTTTTTTTTCACATTCACTTGGATTCGATCAGATAAATGATTATCTATGAAATAATCGATTCCTTTTGCGTACGTTTATCATACATGAAATCTCTGTATCATCGAGAGTTTATCCTTATATGAAGTAAACATTCTTTTTCAATTGTATGTAATACCTCAGTTGTTACGAAATATATTTATACTTTTTTTCTGAATTCATCAATGGTTCATTCGTATATTTTGGACATTAAAATTATTAGAATAAAACTTGCTTGTTTAATAACTTATTTCTTTAAAATACATGTTGAATACACGACAAACACGTTTTAAAAATATTAGTTACTAAAATTTTTCTAAGCGTGTTTAGTTCTCCATTAAAACTTTAAAACTACACAAACTACAGAATAACTTTATATTTTTTGCAGTTGACAACAAAATTATAATTCATAAAAAAATATTTATGATGGTAAAAGGAGAGAACCACACTTTTTCACTGTCACAGATAAAAAAAAAAACCAACGTTCTCCCTATTTCTGTCATTGTTCCATGTTAGGTGGCTTAAAACATCTTCAAAATTAATTTGCATTGTTACTACAATATGTCGAAAGCGAGCAGACCTAAAAGTAAGAATAATACCTGGAAATCGAGAAAATAATTAGATTATCAAGTCAATAATTGTAAGTAGAACCGGCATCGTGAATTTCATACGAAGGAACGTTGAAAATGCTGTATAATTTTTATTTTCACCAAATCTATAAACGAAACAAAAAAAACCGACCTACAAATAAAAATGGCAAAGGATAATGAAATTGTGCCCATTTCGGGAAATGTATTTCACATATACATGGACAGTGGATCATTTCAATTTTCATTTCACACGCAGTAAGGGAAAGGAAAATTTACCACGGATGATCGATAAATCTCATAAACCCTCGAGTTTATGGAAGCCTTGATGGCACCCCGTAATTACGTGACCTCACACCTCGCTCGGCGAGAGAAAACTCCTTATGTGCTCGTACGAAAAAATAAACTCACATAAATTTATCTCTTTATCGTTACGGATTTCGGGAAGCCTGCCCACCCCAGGCGTGATTTCGGTCCCACCCCACAGGGTGAAGAAGAGAAAACCACCCCGTATATGACCCTCAAAAACAAAGGAAAAAAAAAAAAAAAGGTGGGCTAGGTTGGGATGAAAACGCGTCGGCGTGTCGAATGAGCCGCACACCCTCGTGGCGCCTTTCCCTCCCCCATTACCCGACATTTCGCGCGTTACGTGTGTGTTACAGATCTTTAAACACCTATGCCATGGGCTGGAGGGGGTGGCCCCGCCACTCTCGGATTGGCCTTTGTCGGTGCGCCCGCCGGGGTTTTTTAAAAATTACTTTAGAACCCGGCCATCGACGCCCTCTTTTGGATATCAACGCTCGGAGAAAGTCCATTACGGGCACTAGGATGACTCACGCATCGCGAGCTCTGTGCGCCGTTCGCTGAGATCCTCGATTTTCCACTTTTTTTTTCGATGGGCCATTTTCCTCTTTTTTTTTCCTCTATACTTGCGAGACGTTGCTACGTAACTGTCGATACATGGTTTTTATTGAGATTGAAAAAATTCTGGCATTGCCAGCTGGAAATTTAAATTTCCTAAAGTCATAATCATTAAGGGATGCGGAGGTTTTCTGTGTATATGTAGGCGTGAGCCGGATGTTGTAGGGATACGAATCGACGGAAAAATTAATATTTTCTTTTTTCTCAGCAGTATCAGTTGAACCTGTAAAAGCTTTTTTATAATTTTTTTTTTTTTTTTTTTTTTTTTTTTTTCAAGATATAACAAATAATTTTAAAATGCATAAACATTAATCATTTCAATGATGAAAAGTCGAGAGCTGGTGAAACAACCTCATATCGTTTTATAACGAAATGGAAAGCTTTTCATATTATTTAGTCTCTTTGACAACGATTTTTCATCGAGGCTTCGAAAACTGTCATTTCATAATTTAAAAATATCCCAATTTTTGTAACTGACTTAACTAAATTATTGTTCAAATGAATGAATGTATTAGCTACGAACCCCTGTAACGTAAGAAAATTGCATCAAATGATCATGTATGTGAAATAAAACAATAGAGTGACCTTCGATGTGCACATATTTCTGTAGTGGTAATTTTCGAAAGAACAGTAAATTTTATAAATTATCCAGTGATTGTAAATAATTTCGGGGTTAAAACCCAAGCCTCTGTTTAAATATTAGTAGTATGACGTACTACAAACGTGTTTATTATACACAACTGCTGTTATCGAAACAGTATAGTATCAATAGTCATTCGATTTTCAAGTTTATTTATTGCCACTATATTGAAGAAAAAGTACATCGTCATCAGTTTTTTTTATTATTGATGTCAATCTTTGATTTTGGATAAAATCTCCTGCAATGCGTCGACAAACTGGGAGGTCGATGATTTCATCGGCGATAATTGAGAAACCGTTGGCTGACAACTAAACAAACGGTGAGCTAATGTTTTTCTTTCGATGTTAAATATAGCGACTAAAAAAATAAAAAAGTAACGATGGTGATATGATCTACCATGTGCATCCTTCTCTCTTTTTAAGGGTAAAGCTTATATCCAAACGAAAACAAGAAAAAGACATCATACATGGATACCGATGTCTACACGTGCATCATAAATGTTGCCTGAGATGTGCAACACCTACCATGTGGTTAAAAAAAAAAAAAAAAAAAATCCTTTCCAACTCTTGATAATACATTTATAAAAAATTACCCATAACCGTATACCCTCTGTTGCAACTTTGCGGATCATTATACATCATATCAATATTTTTTATTTTTTAATAATTGTACAGCCTAATCTTTGCACAATTAAGTTAGGTGTCAAAACCAATTATTGAGCTAATCTGCAAACAATCAGACGTTCAATCAATTAAACGACAACTTACCGAGATGAGTATAAATGACATACTTATTTATTTATTTATTTTTTTTTTCAAGCACGAGCTCTTCCCTCGTCCGAGACAACTTCTCATCGCACGTATATATATACATAAATCCAAGTATATAATATGTATGCAACGCGGTGTTCTCACAATGATAGTAAGTAATAATAGCGTCGAGTGGCACTCTGGAGCCATTGTGCCGTTAACGAACCGTTAAACGTGCCCGTCGCAAAAACCGCGAAAGCCCGGTGAGAGAATCGATTCGCCGCCCAGAGACCCCGAGCCCCGTCCGATCCCGCGATACTGCGTACCTCGTGTGCAAATGGGGATTTATAATGGGCAACAACAAGGAGCCTACAATGATATTTACACTTGAACCGGTTAGGTGGTGCAAGGGTAGGCGCACGCGTGGCCTCGCCACTTGAGTCCAACTCGAGCACCGTTTCGTCGGATCCCCCTTTTCACCCAGGGGGAGGGGGAGGACCTGCACCCGTCTTCGATTTCCCAGGATTCCCATGAGTACTGCCTTCAGAGCCGAAACTATGATATACTTGCTATGCATTTCTCGGGTATAGGTATACCTCGCACGGTAATTTTTCGTGTGGGTTTTTCGTCCTCGGGTTTATTTACTTTCTCAAAGGGGCATTTGTTTCGTATTTTCGAGTATTTTCATCTATGCTCACGTTATTTAGTCCATCGAAGTTAATGTATTTCTATTATTCCAAACGATGCTACGTTCAATATTGGGTTGCAACTTCCACGCATTTGCAGAAATCGGACGAAGGAGAATATTGTTGCGAAGCGACGGATTTACATAACCGAATTGAGAAAAAAACTTACTTTCTCGAAGGTATAGCGAGGAAAATAATCATTTACCTGACATGATATATACTTAACTGTACTTTTTTTGATGAAGATCAATTATAATTATCATGCTCATAACTTATTGTTTGTTTCCAGTTTTCGAAAAACTTCGAATTATCGACACAAATATGAATGACACCATAACGATTCGTTTAGCGAAAAATCTTCAGGGTAATGTTAGTTTATTGTGTTAAGTTGAGGAGGAGCCGAAACCAAATATCACTTGGTACAAAAACGACATTCCCTTGGAATTATCGCAACAGTTCGTCTGAAAGGATGACAATCAGAAATTAATAATTAAATACCTTTTGGAAAATGATAGCGGAAATTATTCCTGTGTGGCTAAAAATCGTTTTGCATTAGTACGAAATTCGCAAAGAATAATTGTGGAAGGTATTTACATCACAATGGATATTCTCATTCTCTGTTTTTTGGTATCAACTATGTAATACAATTTAATAAGTTAATTCATATTTTAGGGGATGGAATATCTTGGCTTTGGATTGCGGTAATTGTGTTAGTTTGTTTAATTGTGATATTCATGTTAATAATATATCTCATTTCCTTATACATAAAATACTATACAAAGTGTAAAATAGAAGAAATAATGATACCATGTACCATTCTTACGATTATTGGATATATTGCACAAGTTTTAGAACTGTTGTTAATAATATTATTATTAATATTGTTACTTTAATTAAATTTCTAGTACTTAAAGATCAAAGACATCAGATAAAATACACTATGAAATAAAAATTAGACTTCAACTGTCACCGCTTGTCTGGGCTCTTTACTTATCCTTCCAAATACTTACCATTCGTTTGTTTTCATATATTTATTTGTATTTAAGTAACCCCGATGATTCTTCATTTACCCAGGGTCGAGGGAACACCCAGTTTTCCAATTTCACGAGATTATTCCTGATTGAATTTCTTCTTTTTTTGCGAAATAGCTCACGTATAATCTCAAATAAAGGTTGCCC